AATTTCTGTTCAAAACATAAGAGTGAGGAATGAAACAAAGCCAGAGAAACAAATAACGTGAATTTTTTGTTCAGGTTTTGTCACTCTATAATATCAAAGACAAGAAAACATTCTGGCAAATAACTAGTTCTGGTTTGGCTGGATGCAGACTAATAATTTATTGCTGTTCTTCAAGTTTCAAAACTGATTTTTGTATCATTGTTCTGTAAGCCATGTATCCTTTACTGTGAGAGAGGTTCACCGGTTACTAGAATTCCTTTCTCATAAAGCATAGTGACTACATCAACCTATAAACAACAACAAGCATTAGAGGTACATCAACCTATAAACAACAACAAACATTAGAGGTACATCAACTGTCTTAACATAACAAGGGCAGATCCAGCTGAAATTTTATGGGGAAGGGGGGTGGGGGTACATGGTTTTAAGGGGGGCTAAATGGGCTTTATTTGTTATAAGCAACATTGAAAATAATAAAAAAAAACACATGGACCTTTTATGCTGAAAACAATATGGACTAACAACATTACAAAGGAAAATGAGTAAAGCATATTTCTGGTATTGAAGGTGCAATTTCTTTGCAAACTTTTTTATTATCACACTAAACATCATGGTAGCAATTGGTCGATCTTCATACCTACCTTAAAGTCTATGCTATCATGTGGAAGATCCCCAACTTTGATATAATCAGGATATACATTCAGTATGCACTCAATTACTGGCCCTGCCTGAAAATACATAAACATTCACAAAAATGGGTATCTGAAAGAATGTTCAGTTGCATTGTTTTCCATTTAGTGTCAAAAAAAATTAGATAAAATTTTGCACACTGATTAATTAAGAAATATATAATCAAATCATTGATGGCTTTCATGGAAGCCCTTAATTCATGARCTGAATTATTTTGAGGTGTCTGGTACACTAATGGACACCACCTGGATTCCCCTGAATTAACCAGACAATTCAGATTCCATTTTCTTCATTCTCTTACTCCTTGTTTCATTTGTACTTTAATACATTATTTTATTCATGAATTTATCCATTTCATTCAACAATGTTCACAAACAATAACAAAGAAAACAAACCTCTGAGTTAAAATCCAGTTTTTGAGGTTCAAATTCATGATAAATCCTGGAATTTTCCATTGTATGGTAGACTGACACACCATCATCTTCATTTATAAGCCTTTAGAAATCAGATTATTACATTACAGGAGCTGGTCTTCACTAAATAGTTGTACATACCAAATAAATCCAAGGTATAACAATACTAAGTCTTATAAAGGTAAGAGGGGTTATGCTTAGATACTTTAGTGACTATGATACTGTACCGCACTAGGTACACTATCACACTAGGTGGACTATGATACTGTACAGCACTAGGTACACTATCACACTAGGTAGACTATGATACTTTATACAACTTTTCAGTAAAATCAAACGTTTTGATTGGTTGGCTTTCGTGTGTTATCAAAGTATAGATACACGGATTACGTCAAAACTAATTGTTTGTTGTATAAAACAGATAGATCTCATTTTTCCGTGCGTGTGTACTCTAATAGATACACAGATGACGTCAAAATGTAGTGAGAACAACAGTCACACACTCGACTGCGTCTCGTGCATACTTTTTTGTTCTCACTACATTTTGACGTCATCTGTGTATCTATTAGAGTACACACGCACGGAAAAATGAGATCTATTTGTTAAGCACCGCACTAAGTACACTATCACACTAGGTAGACTATGATACTGTACCGCACTAGGTACACAATGACAATAGGTAGACTATGATACTGTACCGCAATAGGTACACAATGACAATAGGTAGACTATGATACTGTACCGCACTAGGAACACTGTCACTATAGGCAGACTATAATACTGTACTGCACTAGGTACACTATCACTCTAGGCAGACTATAATACTGTACCGCACTAGGTACATTATCACACTAGGTGGACTATAATACAGTACCGCACAAGGTACACTATCACACTAGGTAGACTATAATACTGTACTGCACTAGGTACACTATCACACCAGGTAGACTATGATACTGTACCGCAATAGGTACACTATCACACTAGGCAGACCATGATACTGTACCGCACTAGGTACACAATGACAATAGGTAGACTATGATACTGTACTGCACTAGGAACACTGTCACTATAGGCAGACTATAATACTGTACTGCACTAGGTACACTATCACTCTAGGCAGACTATAATACTGTACCGCACTAGGTACATTATCACACTAGGTGGACTATAATACAGTACCGCACAAGGTACACTATCACACTAGGTAGACTATGATACTGTATCGCACTAGGTAAACTAACACATTTTTTGCGCTCCAATATATTAATGAAGTTTGTATCTTGTGCATTGAGAACAAGAGGCATAAGCTTATAGAGCAACAGGAGCTCTATAACCTATTAACAACCTAACCAAGCGAGGTAATGACAATGTTTTAGGCAATAAATGCAGTAATTGTGGCAGGGGTAAAAGATGAGGAATGTCAATCATTGGTATTTCATACCTTGCAACTCCCTTTCTTATCAGTTTTACAGATGTTTTACTTGTTATGGCAGAAGAGTCTTTGATTCCCTCACCGTCCCAGGATGCACCACTGCCATATATGCTATGCTCAATCTCATCTGATTAATAAAGCAAGCAATTCATTAAGATTTTTCAATTTTCTCTTTTACAATATTGATAAATGATGATATAAGTAGCATTACCTCTTGTTAGTGTTGGTGGGAGACAATCGGAGATTACACTTACTCCCATCTGAACAGAAAGATACAAAATGTCATTTAATACACGATTGATAGGTGTCTATCATCATATCAGTGTTTACCTGATCAGCTGCKTCATCAACTGGAGCATGTGAAATAAGCTTTGACATTAGTTTCTCTATTTTACGCAAGAAATCTGACCTGTCTCTGGTTATCTACATACAAATGATACAACAATCAAAACTAATGATAAAAAAGAAACAAAAACAYGAAGTAAATTCTATCTACTGATGCTTTTGATGTCTGAAAAAAATATGACATTAAATATGTGTAGATAACTCACACTGTCAGAGTTGGCAACTCCTGTATAGCTGAGATAATTGATTGGAAGTCCTTGTCGGAAYTCAGGGTCTTCTTCAAAAGCAATCTGAAGTGCTYTTGGTACAAGCTSAAGAAAACAATTCAAAATATGATTTACAACATTAAAATTACATTAGCAGTAAGCTATCAATAATGCAAGAAACCCTCATCATTATTCACTTCAAAATAACACCTTCTCTAAGAAGTCTCCCCAAGTGTTTCTTTGATATGTTGACAATGTGATGTGCAGGGAATGACTTTCCTTWGGAGTGTCTCCCTGAAGAGAGACAATATTCTGTTAGAGTGGTTTCATAAGACAATTATGAACTAAACTCTCAGAGAAATAAATAACATGCATTTGAAAGAGYATGAAAAAACTGTACCTGATGTATAGTTCCTCTTGGAAAGTAAAGCATATCACCAGCTTCTAGTACAGTATCAAGAATTGGTTCCCCTATTTCATCTTGGTTGAAATTGCCTTGGAGTCAAACATATTGAAATGATGGACGAAACATTTTAGGAAACACATAAAAGGGTAAGCAAAAATCAATCTTACCACTTGAGAACCTTGGCAATGATTCCTCCTCACTCCTAACAAAAACAA